GTTTTGGGGGGGGGAATTTTTTGGGGGAAAAGGGGGGGGGGGGACTTTTTTCGCGTTTTTTTGGGGGGGGGGTCAAGGGGGAAGGGGGGGGGGATTCCGGGGGGTTTTTAAGGATTTCCCCCCCCGGGGCCGGGTTTGGGGGGGGGGTTTTTTGGAAAGGGAAACCCGGGGGGGGTCCAAAAAAGGGGGGGGGGGGACCGGGGTGGGGGGGGGTTTTCGAAAAAGGGGGGGTTGGGTGGGGGCTTCTTTTTTTTGGGGGGGAACGGGGGTTTTGAAATTGGGCCGGGGGGGGGGGTTTTTTGGGGGTTTTGGGGAACCAAGGGGGGGGGGGGGGCCCAAATTTTTAATTTTTAATTTTTTTTTTCCCCCCCCCCCCCCCCCCCCCCCTCTCCCCGATACACTCACGAGACTTTGAACTCGGGGCACGCTAGAAAACGTGCGACTTGCATACAAGAAAAAAGCTTCACTGGACGTCACAACCAGTCACCCCCGGTATGCGCCCGCCCAAAACTTTGACGAATGTGACTCGTGTGTCACGCGCGCACTACAAAGTGCACACACACACACACACACGAGATACCGTTTCACTTGTGCGTGTGACTTTGGTCCATCCCCAGCGCGCCGATACGAAAAAACCGTGCGCCACACGTGTGCCCCCTCCTCCTTCCTCGCCCTTACACCACCGAGCGTACCACCCAAACACATCACACTCCCAACCGGCCTATTTAGTTCATCATCCGTTGTCCGCGGCCGCGCGGCCGGCCCTGACGCTCTCCCTCAACCTCTGGCTTTCCCTCCGCACGAATCCCCTCACATCTTCCAGGTCGAAGACCCCGCTGTCCCCCTCCTCATCCTCTTCCTCCTGCGCCTGTCCACGCCGTCCTTCCCCGAAACGCGACGCCCTCTTCCCTTCACCAACACCGCTGCCGCCGCCACTTTCGTATTCATCCAGACGTGGCGCCCCTGTCCCGCGGTAGTGCACGGCTGACCCCTCTTCGGCTGGAGCTACGCCCTGTGATGAGGAAGGAGCCGGGCGTCCTTGATGCTGCCCCATGAACGTACCGCCCCCGTTGCCTCCAACGAACCGCCCCCCTCCCCCGCCGCCGCCGCCGCCGCCCCCCCCCCTCCATACGCCCCCTGAGAGAGAGCTCCCGCCTCCGTCTCCTGCTCCAGAACGTTCTTGCCGCTGCTGATGTTCGTGCTGAGCTCGCCACTCGTCTGCCGCCGCCATCGCCGCGGGTCTGGCTGCCGCGGTCCCGTCCCTTGCCAATCCGGAAGTCGAGGCATCACCACCGCCGCCTGCGCCACCCGGAGAGGCGACTCGAGGGGCGAACTGGACGGAGCCCGGAGAGAGCTCGAGCATGTTGGAGGAGGAGGCCGGGGTGGAAGGGGTTTCGGGGTCGTTGGAGGAGGAGGTGTCTCGCTCCCCCTCTCCCCCTCGCCGCGAGACTGTCATGGACATCGACATCCTGGAGGACATGTCCGCAAGGCAGTCCCTAGCTTGACCCAGCTCGTCTTCGAGTTTCGCCGCCTGTTGGTGTGGGAGGTTTTGTTGACCGCGGGGTTTGGGGCGAATCAAGACACGCGGCGCTCTGCTGAGAAGGACTTCGTTGGGGATTCCACCCCCCCCCGGGTGTCGTCGAGTATCGCGTGCGACCACAAAACAACACGCACACTCACTCTCAATTTCCACCAACAACGCCATCACCATCAACCACGCACATCATAGGCGAGTGTTGCGTTCGCGTCGGCCTTCCCCAACCATGCAGAAGCATGCACTTGTGCTGTCAATCCAACTTTTACCACATGGGTTAGTCCGGACACTCTCTAGTATGCGCGCGCTACCTTGCTCTCCAAGAGGTCCTTCTCTCTGGCGAGCTGCCTCTGCTCGGCCGCCACGCTGGCTTCTCTTAACCGGGAAGCCTCGATCAGCTGCTCCAGCCCCGACCCGTGGCTCCTCTCCCTTCCCAGGATATGGGATAGCCCGTCCCGCTCTTCTTCTAGGGCCTGCCACGATTTTGTTCGGAACAACACCGGTGGCAGCAACAGTTTTCATTGATTGTCTAGTTGGGCCACGCAGCTGTCATGGTGCCCGTGTGTTGGAAGAAGGACTGATTTTCTCACCAAGACCAACGGGCGAGGTGTCGGAGTGAATCCTCGTTGAGATCCACATTCAAGCTAACAACGGTAGCACACGCATCGGAGCCAGCTGCTCCGATCCGAGTAATTTCGACTACTTGCTCAACTCACGCTCCAAGCATGCGAGACATGCGCGGAGTTGCGCTCTTTCGCTGCCCTCGGCGGTCGGCCGTGTTTGGCGCACTCCTGCAGTTCGGTAGCGCACCACAAACACAGAGCGTACCAACTACATCTCATGGCATCAAAGGTCCAATCGCGCAAAGAGAGAGGACACCAGTCACGAGCCACGGCGTGCGCAATTCCAGGTGCCTCGGTTCACCAGTCGACGAAACAGCGGGAAGAAAAGGAAGGAGGAAAAATTCGACGAAAAGCCTGTACCTGCAAGCGAGCCCTGAGGGAAATAACCTCTTGCCCGGCGGTGGTGCTGTGCCCCTGTTGGGACCGTATCCTGCAGCGAGAAAAGAAAATTAAGCCGAAAACGAAGACGTCGACGTTTTGTCAACAGATGGAAGAGCATCGAACAGCTACGTGCAGCAGTGTTGTGCGTTATAGTGTTCGAGATATCTGACCCTCGGACGCTGATCTGCGGAGATCCTGAGTATAGACTCTAGGACCTGCGCGGCGTGAGGGGAAATCCTCTACAATTGTACTGCTCGCCCGTTCCTCGAAGCTACAGCACGTACCGTGCAGTCAAAGCCGTTCAAGCTGTAGCGGTAAAAAAAACGAATGGTCGGGACTTTGAGCAGCAAACCCAATGCGCCCGTCACAAAAAATCTCCAAGTTGATACAAAAAAAAAAAAAATGACAGGCCAAAGCATTTGCCTTGGCGTCGTCAAGGAGACCTCCCCAACGAGAGACCTCAGAATTCAACGAAAATTCTTCAGATTCCTCTGGAACCGTGCGGTCGCGGAAGCTCACCTCTCTAGCAAGGCATTCGCATGGTGCCGCTGAGCGCGTGCATCTGCCACCAGCCTGCGGTTCTCCCCAGCCAAAGCTTCCACCTGCCGGCCGCCCCTCAGAAGCTGGGTCGAGAGGTTTTCCGCCTATCGAGGGATTATGCAATGGGGGGGGATGGGGGCACGGCGTTTAGCCGACGCACTTCAGATTATAGACGCTGGCATTCCCATCCACACACACACCATGTGCAAAGGAAATCTGGTATATTCACGAGAGAGGGGCTGACATAGCCTTAACGGATCCTTGTCTAGTTTTGCGCCGTGGGTGTAACGCCTTGACGGGAAACACAAAAGAGGTGAACGAAGAAATCTAGCTGTTCGAGGAATGGGAGTCCGGTAAATTTGTGCACCGAGGGGAAGGACCACACACGCACGAGGGAAAAAACGGGAGGGGAAGGATAGACAGGTGCAGGAGTAAGTGCCAATGAATGGGGGCGAGAGGGTATGAGCAAAGGAGGCGCTCAGAACGGCCGCCGCCTGCAGAGAGAGCTGAATCCAGGTTATGGGCCCCGCGGGGTTGCGGCCGAGACCCTGGTAGGCCTGAGACGTGCGCAAATCCTCGTCTTGTGAGGAGAGGCAAAAAAGATACACAGGGCGAGGAAAACATCCTGTTGTTACGCACTGCGCGCCAAGACGATCATTGTGGAAACAGCAAACCTGAACGTGCCAGCACACAGGACGCCTCTTCATGGTGTCCTCTACTGATAGCAGTAGAATGTGGAACATCTAAACGGCGGGAAGTTGTTTTGTTTTCTTAGATTGTATTAAAGTGTGAAAATAGAGCCATCATCAAAATAGCTTTTTCTTCAACCCCTTAAGCGACGCTTGACCAAGATCGGGAATGAATGTGGTAGCCGTGTGAGTTGCAGGGTTCATCGTGGGTCCCACCCCTGGTTGATACAGAAACCCCCCATTCCTCGAAACCCAACCTCAAAGAGGCGGATGCACTCATGGGGTTGGTCACCCGCGAACTAGCACCAGTACCACCAACCAGTGGTGCCGTCGACAGTGAACAACGCTAAAAAGGGTGCCCCCTGGCCCATGTGTAAGAACCGGTTGACACCAGTGCTCCACTGCTGTTTGCGCACGTGGGTAACATGAAACTTCACGCTGAATGGAACACGCACATGTATGTACGTACGTGGGCGCACACGAGGCCACGTGATTTCCTCGTGCATCCCGCAAGATGTGTTCGCGCCGCGCGACGTGACCGACATATTCCGCCACGACACATCAGAGCGGGCTTCGAACTGCATTTAAACGCTAGAACGAATGTGTCGAATAGTCGCCCACATTTTTCATTCTGTCGCGTCCATTGAGTCCTCTCATCGAAGTGCGCGTGGAAAAGCCAGCAACATACCCTGACGAATGGAGAACATAATTTGAAGGGGTTACAGGAGTACAGCCTACGTCACCGCACTCGACCCCGAGATTCGAGGTTACCGGTGAACCGCTCCACATTTCAAGTCCGGTGTTCGAATCCGGCAAGGCCATATTTTTCCAGGCCTTTTGTTAATTTTTTTTCGGGTTGAGGCTGAGTCTTACGGTGTGATTATTTCCGGATTGGATTTGGGGGGGGAGTCCTTTTCTGAGTCAAAAAAATAATTTGGGCGTCTTACGGGTAGTAAAATGGCATTTTCTAAAAGCCCAAAATCCAACAGCGCAGTTTCCAACAGCGATTCCGGCCGGCCTGTTAGAAAATTGGCCCATTTTCCAACAGCGATCCTGTTGGAAAATCGCTGTTAGAAATGGGGGGGGGTACCCCCTGGTCACACCCCGATCGTGCCAGAACGAGGAACTACACCGTCTGCTGGCCAAACAGAGGCCAGTATCATGAGGTCATGCACAAACCCTCTGCAGGTATCTAAAATTCAGGGCGTTCTGGGTGGTGTTGGCCGCACACGAGCCGAAAACGTCAACCCTGCCACATTGCTCTGCTGACGTTCTTTCTTGCCTTTGGGCCGAAAAGAGCCGTTTTTGCGCCTGCTGCATGTGTGACCAATTCAAAACGCATGCCAGAGAGAGGCCTTAAGCCGTCGACATCCACAAACTGCAGCCAATGGCGTGTGTTCATACTCATGCCCTCTGCTCGTGTACCAGAAACAGAGCGTGTTGTCCAGTTTTGATTGCACACGGCCTGCAAACGTGAACCAAAGTGTGTTGCGGTGTTGACTTTTGGGTATTTTTTCTTGTTCCGCCGCGTGTTTGCTCCGTGTGTCACCCGCGACCAGCCAAAAACACATGCCAGAGAGAGGCCGTTGGCCGACGACATCCACAAACAGCAGCCAGTGGCGTGTGGTCATACACATACCGTCTGCTCGCGTCCCAGAAACAGAGCGTATTGTCCAGTTTTGATTGCACACGGCCTGCAAACGTGAATCGAGATGTTGTTTGGTGTTGCCTTTTTTGCACGTTGCTTTTTTGTTCTGCCGCTTGCTCCGAGTCGAGTGTGATGAGTGTACAACGCATGCCATCAGAGAGAGGCCTTTGGCCGACGACATCCACAAACTGCAGCCACTGGCGTGCGATGATGCGCATGCCCTCTGCAGGCGACCCATAAATAGGGCGCTCGGTGTCTTGTTGGTCGCACACGAGCCAAAATCGTGTACTGAAGCATGTTGTGACTCACAAAAACATGAATCAGCCTCTTTTTTCCCTTCAGAAAAAATATACCTCGAGGAACGGTAAGACGGTCGTTTGGATCTGGATAATTTTTTTCGGTGCAGGCCACCCCCCCCCCCCCCCCCCCCAGAGAAAAAAAAAAAAAAAAAACCCCCCCAAAAAAACCACCTTTTTTTATCCGATCCACCCCGTCTAAAAAACTCTAGACAAACTTGAGCTCGGTGGTGATACCCCCCAATTTTCCCAGAGTTTTCGCTTTCTGGCGCCCATTTTTTTTCAATAAAAGAGAACAAGCGTCACGAAAACCGTAAAAAGAACAGAAGATAACATGAAAAAAAAATGA